GCATTCCTGAAGGCACTACAAGCGATGACATAGACCCAAATGAGGACCACCACAGCCACTATGAGAATGATATTTGCTTTTCTCCATTCTTTTCTCAGGTTTCCCAATAGACCAGCCTTGCACGCATCGCAGTTGTAGCATAGTTGATTCTGGTCATTGCTCCACAAATAACAATCTGGATCAGCCGTAGGATTCGCAGGGTTTGTCCATAGTATTGGGCTTACATAGTTGTACCCACAAGCAGTGGGAGGTTTGCAACACCCTGACTGTAACACCAATCAAACCAATTTATTTAATAAAACATGACACTAATTAATAGTCTAAAACAACTACCAAACCACACCACTATAATGTAACTTTTTATCTTCCTGTGCAATAACGACAAGACATTATTGATCTTGACTATTCTTAGCTGATTAATTTAATAGGGTCAAATTTTGCATTATTTCTCTACATGTGAATTTCAGCTGCATAGACCTTTCCGGGGCTCAATTATACCGGAAAGGCCCCACACAGCACTAATGTATGGTCATCCACGCTGGTAATAAGGATGTGTCTAATGTCTTCTACTAATCATGCATTCTCAAGTCACGCTGATTTTAAGACATCAAAATTCATGTAAAATGCGGTTAGATTTATTTCATGGACCTCGGTGTTCTGCCAATAAGTCAGATTATGGTGCGTGGTGCTTGTTAGGTGTTAAAGCTTAAATTCCAAACAAAAATTTGACAATTTTATATTTTTTTACCTAAAGCATGTTCAGATGAGCATAGCCCCAGTATGTAGTGTAGAGTTTCAACATAATCCAAGTTGAATAGGAATCTCCATTGGTCCCATTTAGAAAGCGGTGCACAATTTCACACTATCCTTTCCCAACCACCGTCACAATCGAGTAACTTGACAACTAACCCTTGGGACATAGATACACTGTAGGTTCCTCATTCAAGGAATCCTTTATTCTTATCAGAATCTAATATATGTTGGAGTTCAAGTTCAAGTGTGAAGAATCAGAGTTGAATATATTAAATATTATATAAATTTACCTATTTAATATAAATTCTGTTGTAGTATTAATTTTACTTATGTAACTTACTCATCACTATATATTATGATAATTTTATTTATATAACTTACTTACTATCTATCATGTGGAGTGTTAAAAACTAGCCAACAATAAAAACATGGAATTAAAAAAAAGCTTGTAGATCCAGGGTTAGTTGGATATGCGGATTCTGTAAAAATCCTTTTCCTTGTTCTAATTCAAGAGCCCTAGCTAGTTGGATCTGAAATTGCGGCATTGAAAGCGTTGTAAGATGGTGTGATGTGATGTGGTGGGGGTGTAGGAATAAAAGTGAAGGTGAAGATAGTAAGAGTATGTTAATTAATTATAATATAATTTGAATTTGTAAATACGTACCTGTAAGGGGGAGATATGAGAGTTGAAGAATTGATGAGCAGTGAGGTAATTCTGGGCGAGCTTAGTGCAAACATCAGAAGCAGCCAAACAGGGCCTTATCTTGCGCCAGCTTCCGGAGGCGGTGACGTGGTTGCGGAGCCAGGCGGAGAAGGCGTGGAGGCGGTACTCCTTGAAGGGTGTTCCGGGGACATGGTAGGCTCCGTTGGGTCTGGTGACGACGAAGGCGAAGACGAGGAGGATGAGGAGGAGGGCGATGAGGAGCGCCATGGAGAAGAGGTAGAGAGCCAAGAGGCCCTGTTTGTTCCAGTAGGCACCGACGAAGCCCGCGAGGGAGACGAGGAGGATGAGGAGGCCGATGATGACGATGGGCCACCGGAAGTTGGTGATGCACTCGTTGGCGGGGTTGGAGGCCAGCCAAATGCCGGAGGCTATGATGGGTATCGAAGCGAGGGTCGCTATCAAGTTCAGAATTGCGGTGATGTTGTTGCTAACCCCCATGACCATCTCACAACACAAGGAACTCAATCTCACTCTCCACCCTCACTCTATCTATAATTAATTAGACACAACACTCTTGTTCCAATCCCCATTTCATCCATACATTATTATTATTGAGCTTGCTTAAAATATAATTAAAAATGTGTCAAAAATATTATTTTTAAAATTAGACCAATCAATTTGTCTAACCAGTTTGCTAATTTAATTATCTAATAACTAACAACAACTCACATGTTTTATAATCTGCACAAACTGATCCAACAAGTCCAAAACTAGTAAAATTCTAGTTTAAACTGGTCCGAATTATTTTTTTTAATTTCAAATTTAATTTAAAATAATTAATTAGAATAAAATAACAGATTTAATAAGATTTATGAATTGAAATAAACTATTTTATCAGTTTTTAATATTTTTCTTATAAGATATAACTTAATCATTTTTCTCTTTTTTGATCCGTTCCTGGAGTATCCATTGTCGATAGACGTGACTAATCTCCTCGCTACGTTGGAGACACCTCAAAGGGTGAGATAACTGACCTAAGATTTAACACAGCTACATACACAAGGCAGGATTTGAACCACTGACCTTGCTTAAGCGTGGATCAACCCCTACCACTGAACCACACGTTTGAGATTATTTAATCATTTTTATTAGTTTACGATTTTAAGTTTTTATAATTTATATTATATTAATTTAACACTTTTTAATTAAAAATGAGTCTAACGAAATAACAAAAAATTTCTTAAAAAATTAATATTAGACTACTTTATGTGCTGTTATAAGGATTCGTTTTCACGCGAATTTGATTATATTTAGACTCTTTTCGATTAGAACATCGTTGGGGGTCCATAATTTTTTTTATAATTGAATCAAATTACTTGTTAAATCAATCTAAAATGATTCATGAAAATTATGTTTCAAAGAAAAAAAAATCGTTATTTTATAGGAATCAGACTCACTTAATTAAAAAAAAAAGGAATAAAATTAACATTTTAAAAGATAAATTTTTTAAAAAATAATTTATATTATATATATAAAAGGAAGATATCAAATTACACTATTGTAAATTTTATTAATTATTACATCAAATTTCAATAATTTAAAGTACTTGATTAAAAACAAATTATTAATTTTATATAAATTGTATTTCTACATTTCATTTATTTTTATAGAAGTTGGTTGTTTTTACTTTCAATTGGATATGTATGATTTAAATATCTAAAATTATTTGAAATATTTGAAAAAAAACATTTTATAAAAAATTAAACATGTTTTTCAAATTTTGAATAATCTCTAACCTATTAGATTTAAAAACTAACCTTTTTATCTGGGTTCACACACACACACAAAAATAGTGAACCTGACCCATTCTACATTAAAAGAATTTAATTGATTATTTTTACTTAGATTTGTTTTAAATGGCAGTAAGTATGTCTCTCATTTTACTCTATGCATTTTTTTTTTTTTATCAATTTCAAATCTTGATATTTTTTAAGGAAACATTTAGTAAAAGAAAAGTTTTTCATACATTAAAATTATGATTTATTTGAATAGTTAAAATCTCTTTCGTCAGTAAGAAAGATTCTCGTAAATATCTATATAAGTTTCTTAATTATGAATTAAAGACTTTAATATGTGGTTACAATAGAACTTTTCCTAAGTATATAAGTATTTTTTTTCAAATATACTCTTATTAAAATAACTTCCTTAGATATATTTCATTACTCAATTTTATTACAAATGTAACACTCAATTAAAATTTTGTATGATTTAATTATTTTTTTAAAGATAATAAAATTTAATTATATATAAATAAATTATATATATAATAATATTTGCATTTGATTAAATTTCAAACCATATTAAAATAACAATTAAAATATAAATTAAAATGGTTTATCATAACAAGAAAAAAGGAAAATTAACACTAAAAATAAAAATAAAAATTGAAATATCAGTAAACTTCAAAGTAAAAAAAAGAAATAACGTGATTTAAAAGTGATAAAATGAATTATTTTTTCATTTAATAAATAAGAAAATACTTTATAAAAAAAATAATAAAATATTATATAATTATTTAAAGGTAAATGTTTAGAATTATTAATGTAATACATGCGTTGCATGGTATAACTAAAATTAAAAATATATTAAATTATATAATTTTATAGAAAAACTAATGAAACATGAGATTAAAAATATCTTTATAATGAGAAAATGATTTATTAATAAATAGGTATACATTATTAAGGTAAAGTAAGAATATTAATAGTTATAAGAAATTAATAAAAAGTTATAATAATTACGTACTTTAAAGTGAATATTTCATACAATATTTTAACATGAATTGATCATACAATAATTAAGGTAAAGACATTTCTTATGTATTTGAGCTTTAATTTGTGCTCGCAGCCTGACATATTTTGCTTGCTTAGAGTGATACACCTAACCGTTGATACAAACATAGAAGAAAAAAAAAGGTTGAACAAAGAAAAGGTTGCATGAAGAAAAGACATCATGTAATGTCATTTTCTACTTGTGGAATCAAAGAACATATTTCTATTCCAAATGTAAATACGACTTTGTAAATTTAGATATCCCAAGAAAGGGTAGTAATGCAACGGTCGTATAAATCTCAAGCTTGAACATTTTTATGCCCATTGATCATGTTCTTCATGGATTCAAATCGAGGACCCTTTTCACCAAACTTGGTGCTGCCATAGAGCTTCAAATAGTCCTCATAAACGAAGTTGCTCGGGTACAAGAGCTTAGGAGCTGGGGAAATAATGGCATCTCCAATAGGGTTATAGAATGTGGCAATGGAGATTCTGCTTCCACTGTTGTCAGGCATGACCCTATGCACAACACTCTTATATAAGCCATTGCTCAACACTTCAACTTGGTCACCTGTGTTGACAAATATGGCATTGTTCTTGGAGGGTGGAATCTCAACCCATTTGCCATCTTTGAAGAATTCAAGGCCAGGCACTTTGTCATCTTGGAGCAGTAGAATGATGCCACCAGCATCTGTGTGCTCTCTAAGTCCTCTCACAAGTTCTGGACGTGGACATTGAGGGTACTTGGCCACTTTTGTTCCCACAGCAGGACCCTTCAGCTTGCTTCCAGAAAATGCTTTCTTGATGTAACCCTTCTCCAGACCAAGATTTTCACTCATGAGCTCAGATAGCTTCTCTGCCAGCTTCAGGAGTTGTGCAATGTACTCATCCATTGTTTGGCTGCATCAATTGCATACACTTGTATATCAGTTTAAGAAATGTTAACAACATTATCAAATACTTTTCATTCATGTGGTTATCATTCCTTTCGGTGAGATCCACATCAATTTTAACTAATAAGAGAAAATGCATTAAAAAGAAGAAATTATTATATAGTTTGTGATCATCACAAGTTTATACTCCTGATCAATCTTTAAGCAATAGTTACTGAAGTTTTCAATATACAAGAAAAAAAATTAATAGATCGAACTCAATTACATGCCATGCAAAATTGGTTATGACGTAGAACACAAGTCGTCCTGAATCATGTAATAATTTCTAATTGAAAAGAAAGTACTAATGAATATGTTGGTAGCACCATTGATATCAGTTTGGTGTATCTTAGGACTTGGTGCCACAGATGAGGGTTGGCTTACCAAAGCTCCTGAGAGAGGTTTGGAATTTGATTGATGTTAGAGTTGGGGCGATGCCAAATGAAGAAGGCACTTTCCCAATCTATATCAGAGGTGTTCTGCTGTTTCTCCAACCTCTTTGCTATTTCAGACTGGTAGAAGCTTTCCTTCAGGTTTTCCTCATAGTATGTATTGATCAACTGCTTAACCTTCTCCATCAAACGTGTGTCAATTTCATGGTTCTCAACCTGCACATCCAGTGTGTTAAAAAAATCTAATTGAGAATTGATGAGAAATAAAACCAAGGAGAGCTAACATGCATATACCATAAAGAAGCCCCATTTCTCACAAGCGTTGTGCAATAGGGCCATTGTGTCACCCCTCTTGTCTCCATTGAGCTTACTAAAATCTATCACAGGGATCTCCATATCTTTGCACTAGATACTTGATTAATGTTTCTTGGTTGAAGGTATATGTTACATAGGATGGGGTATATATAGGGCGAAATAAGATTTAAATTTATTTAAAATCTTGCAAGAGAAAGGCTAGAATGACGCAAATTAATATGCCATCATGTGATCATGTTGTACAATTTTTTATTCATGTTCGTATCCTTGTACACTAAGCTTTGGTTCTTTTTTTCTCAAAAGAAAACTTCTCCACCTTACCTTAAGTCCAACTTCAGTTATCGTTATTGATTAACACAAAAAAAATATCTTAGCTAACTATCTCTTTCTACATAAAACTTTTTCTCTGGTAATCAACAATATATTACAAAAACCAGGGGCAACATGCTTAAAGGGAATGTGGGTCGAGCAAATCGAACCAGTGGGCGGTTTTGGCTTCATGCTGTTGCAAACATGATTAGGATGAATCACTCATTCACTCATGGGCCATGTGCTTAATTTATTTTATTCATAGTTTTCCATTCAAGGTAATTTAACTACCGCTGGAAATGCATCATGCATGACATAATAACTGTAGAATCCAATTATTAGTTCCAAGACTTTTGTTTTTAACTTAAAGACAAACATAAGAGTTTTCCTGCAACTTTTGGCTGGCGCACACAGAAAATGAAGTTATTAGAAATTAAGAACAGCTTTCCGAATTTCAAATTCAATCTCAACGGGATATATACATGATTCTTTAAACTGCGGATATATACTGATTACAGATAGTGCCCAGATGAATTAATGTAATATATGATTTTCATTTGTCAGCAACATATAAATCATTTATACATGAAACATTGGAAACCTTGTTTTAACTTAATTAATGATTTTAAGTTCGAGTATGAAGGAGAAGAGTTTTGTTAAATCTTTAACAACCAACATAAAACTTATTAATAACGAATACGATTTACTCACAACATTTTTCTTAAATATTATTGAATCAGTCTAACAATAAATGAGATTTAAAACAAACTTTGTGAGCTACTCTTTTACTTTTAATGAGAGATTTATATTTTAGGCCTTTTTCTTACATATGTATTTTTTTTTCTACTTTATAAAAATTATTAACAGATTTTTTTTTTTGGTTGGTGAACCAAAAGTCTTTTCTTTGGACCAACTCTTGTTATCGTTAAAACAAAATATATAATTCATATTTTCGGTAACATGGCCGAAAGAATCAGAAGATCCAGAGAATTTATAAGAAAAACTGATAAATCTTGCAGTGAAATACCTCAAGCTCTTATATCCAGTGCTTCAATAGTCACAAGAGAGAAACCTTGACGGAATATTTAGTTTTCGAAATGCGAGAAATTATTTGAACTACATTAGGAACATATAACTTTTTTTTATTTGTTAACGTTAATAATGCTAAAATGGGTGTTATAATGCTTATTAATTAGTAGACCACAAAAGAAGCATCTTTTTTACTTTCTGATGTTATAATGCAAGTATGGTACGCATAATTGGAAACACTTTTTACAAATCTTTACTTTTAAATTTTATGCTTATATACAAAAGTGAGTTTCAAACACTAAAATAGAAAAGAGTTGACACAACTTAATCTACAAATCTTCGGTATGCTTTGATCATATGGAACATTGAAATTTTACTAAATTTGATCAAAATATACTCTTTCAACACTATGAAAACACTAAATCTATTCATCAATCATACAATTAAAATGTCCTTTCATAATATTTATCTTCTAGCAACTAGCTAGACTAGTTTATTAACTTTGTCATTAAAACCTTGGGATACAGAACCAAAATTTAAAAGTCAAAAGCAAGTTTCAATATTGAGGATAAAAACGATGAATCTATATATATGTAATATTTTGAGTGGTCTCAAACTCCGATTCATAACATGTATATATCCTTTGAACTTGCTCAACTCTGGTTTGGTGTCTTAGCAAGTAATGTCTTTCTTTATCCGTGGTCAAACTTGAATGAGGTGGTGATCTTTGTGGATAATAATTTGTCTGATGGCCAAATACAGTTGATCCCGATTCCCACACAAGGAACAAAACTAAACAAATCATCATTCTAAAGTTAACTTTTTTGCCATTATTTTATTCTTCGTTATCATATAAACGATTATTATTGTTTTTTACTAGCAATTAAATAATAATTAATGTATTCAGAGTAACTAATATTATTATTTGTATTTATATAGAATATTGATAAAGATCTATTAAATTATAAAAAAATTAATTAAACTAATTATATATATATATAAAATAATGACTAATAAATAATTACATGTAGAAAATCATAAAATTTATGATTGATTTAGTGACAATTATATTTTTGTTACCACAAGATTGTCATTAAAAAAAATTGTGATAGTGAATTAACCAAAAAGTTTGCCTAATCTTTGTGGTTTTTTTACAACCTTTTTTTAAAATGTATGGTTGAGGTTGGCGAAAGGAATTTTAAATTGATTCTTTTAAAAATTAAAATTTAGTCTCCAAGTAAAATGTCTTCTGGCAAAAAAGAGACAAAGGGTTTGAAGTGATGTGAGGAGAAAATGAGAAATGGAAATGTAACAGAATCCGCCCGAAGACTTGCCTAAAACATTGACTATGGTGCCGTAAAATTATATTACCGAATTTTAAAGTTACAAAGGACCATACATAATCGGAATAGACAAATTCCTAATTAAATGCAGTGCATATTTTTTTAGTTAAAAATATTTTTAAGTGTATGTTAAAATGAGGGAGATTTAATTTTAATTTTTACGATTTATCTTTGAAAACTTAAAATTATTGTTTTTTTCTTTATAAAATATTTTTATATGTTTTTTTTTATATTTCAAAAACTTTAAATTATTAATTTTAGTTTCTAATATTCATTTTAAGATAGATAAATAATATTTAATTTAGATATATTGAAGTTTTTTTTAGGTGTCAAAAGCTAATGTAATATTATAGACACTATTAAATGTCAACTAAAATGGTTATTTTATTTTTTATTTAGCATATAAATAATTAATGAGTGTTAAATAATAATAATAATGAAAAATAATGATTTTTTTTATTTTTGAAGATAAAAATTAAAGAATCTTTTTTATAAAAATTAAAATCGAATTTTTTTTAGTAACATGAGTAAGAAAATGGGAACGATCAAATGAAGTTATCAACAATAGAATAGTTGAAATTATGAGAAAATTACATGTCATCAAGAATAATAGTTATATGTTATATTTTACATAACATATTTGTAAAGAAATGACTATAGATCCTTTAAAAGAAATTTAAGAGATGTTAATAGTGTGTTTGAACGAGGGATTTAAATGAAGTAATTCATTTGTTTAAAGAATTTCAAATTCTTTGACGTGAAATATCTTATGAGTAGAAAATTTATAAAAAATTTGAAATTTAAACATTTATAAGATTCTTTTAAATAGTAAGAATTTAAAATTTTTCATATTTTTTTTTCTTATTTCTGTGAGACCCCATATCCGTTCCCTTTTCTCTTCCTCACTATCACTCTCATACTCTTTTCTCCTTCCCTCATTTACTCTCAAATTTTTCTTTGTCTTCTCTTTGCCTTTGGTCTTTCTCTGGAATCATTAGGTGGTGGAGCTGAGGAGTTGTGTTGGAAGCTAGCAGAGGCGCGGGTTTTGATTTTCTCCGTCCGTCCTCCATCTTCTTCTCCATTCTCCGCGATCCCGAAGCTCGGATTCTTCACCGAGGTAAGGGAAGTTAGTTTTCTTGTTGTGGTTTAGCTGAAATGAGTCTAAGAACTCGTGTGGTTGATTTTGATTTCGAATTCTTGGTTGTTTGGGTGACACATTGAGTTTTTTGGGGACTTTGGGGTTCATGAGAAATTTGGGTTTTTCTTGATTGTTACATGCATGGGTGAAAAGAGAGTATTTTTGGACTCTAGGATGAGAATGTGGTATTTTGGATGGTTTGCATGTTGGATTGCTGGTTGTTTTCGCAGGTTTTGATGAGATTTTCGAAGTAAGTGAGGGTTCTCGTTTGAATTTGCGCCGGGCGCAGTTCTTCGCGCTGGGCGCGACTTGAAATGGGAAGTTTCTGGGTTAACCGCACCGGGCGCAATAGACCTCTGTAGGTCTCTGGTTGAGGATTAAGCCGGGCGCTCTTTTAATTCGCCGGGCGCGCATTTGCTTTTCAGAATTTGACTTTATAGTCTTCATGCAAGTTGTAGCCTTGGATGTTAGCTTTCCCGCGATCTTTTAATGCGCCGGGCGCGCATTGGTTTTTCAGAATTTGACTTTGCAGTCTTCATGAAAGTTGTAGCCTTGGATGTTAGCTTTCCAATGGCGCTGGAATCACCCAAAAAGGAGTTTTAGAACTCTAGATATGGCTGTTTTAGTGAAGAGGGTTCGAGCTGCTAGCTTTGTTTATAGCTATTGCGGTTTTTATCATTTTTAACATGGTAGATGAAGGAATTAAGACTTGGTATCTTCATGAGAGTTGTAGGAAATTTTATTATCTTTCATATGAGATAAGGATGAGCATGGTAGGAGTAGTATAACTCCTGATGCGCTGTTTACTGTGATGGTTGCCATTTCACATTTAGTGATTTGGTTAAGTTGAAAGTTGTTTTAGGTGCTTAGGTGTATTCTTGTTGTTTGGGTGAGTAAATTGACAAGATAGATGAGTTGTAAACAAGATGGTTGGGTCGTATTAGGTGTTGATCATGTTGTTTTAAGCTGTTAGTGATGAATGATTATTGAGCTGAACGATGATATTGATGTGCTGCGCTGAGCGCGGCCCTTGTCGCGCTGAGTGTGAGACTCCTTGGGAGTCTCTGCCTCAAGGGCGCTGGGCACAATTTGGTTTGCGCTGGGCGCGAGACCAAGGGAGGTCTCTGCCTGGCCTGCGCTGGGCGTAATCGGGTATTACACCAAGCGCGAGAGAGCTTTGGACTCTGACTAAGTCTCGCCGGGCGCAGGCACGCTTGCGCCGGGAGCGCTGCCCCCTGGAGCCCTCTGGTTGTGCCACGCCCGGCGCGCCCATGAGTGCGCCGGGCGCGTATGAGGATGTGAAGTTATATGCTGAATTGCTGATAATATTGTTTTATGTTGAATTAAGCCGAAATTGAGGAATATGATGGGATGACTAGCTAAAATTGTTGTTTGAGGATGTTGAGCTGTGTTAGGTGTATATTTGATGATGGTCAAGGTCATTAAAAGTACCTAATGGAGGAGGGAAAATGAAGAAAAAAACAGGTTACAAAATATATTGAACTGCAAACTATACAGAAA